CAGGCTGTTGGACGCGGCTGCCCGCAGCCTGACGTATGAGTCACAGCCTGGTTGATCAGGTATCCTTTGGAGGTGCTTATCCAGTTCTCTCTTGAACACTGTGAGGGGTTTGCCAGTTATGCCCCTTATGTGATTTTAGTTTTTTTGAGCTATGGCTCCCACGCAGCGCCTGGGACCCATAGTCCAAAGGGCCTGCATGGGTTCCCGGTAGAGGCGGAAACAAAGGTGTAGAAGTTCTCTCATGTGATGCCTCTGTTCACCTAGCAGTAAATAGGCACCTGGGAGTTAGACAGGTGCAACCGGCTGTATCCTAGGGTTGCGTGTGTGTGTACTCGCCTAGTTGTACTCACCTAGTTGTGCTTGCGAGGGTTGAGCTTTGGCTCTTTGGTCCCGCCTCTCAACTGTCCATTAACTGGTGTACAGATTCGTGAGCCTACTGGGCTCTATCATATCTACTTTTGAAAGTGTGTATGGAGTCAGCCTCCACCACATCACTGCCTAATGCATTCCACCTGTAAACTACCCTGACACTGAAAAAGTTCTTTCTGACGACCCTGTGTGTGTGTGTGTGTGTATGTGTGTGTGTGTGTGTGTGTGTGTGTGTGTGTGTGTGTGTGTGTGTGTGTGTGTGTGTGTGTGTGTGAGAGAGAGAGAGAGAGAGAGAGAGAGAGAGAGAGAGAGAGAGAGAGAGAGAGAGAGAGAGAGATGACATATAATTAGTAGATACGACAGAAAATTAGACAAGCGACGGTTAGAAAGACGGGTCCAAGAGCTAACAGCTGGCTCCAGCAAGCCGCAGTAGCTAACACACACACGACCAGTAGAGTTTTATCCACTCCAACAAGAGGGCATACAACAGAGAGGCCCCTTCCGCTCGCACGGCACTCCTGCACCAACAAGCTCATCGATCAACAGGAGGCGGCACTTACCTGGGAAAATATGGGCTCATCACCCCCCCCCCCTTCTCACACTCGCTGGAGATAATCAATGGCTGGTATCTTGAGGCCGAGTGTCATCCCTCGCCACTCAAGTCCCACTCCAAGTGCACAACAATGATCCTCCCCCCTTCCCCCCCCTCTCCCCTTTAACCTCCCCTTTACACCCCCCCTTTCCTAAATCTCCCCTTCCCCTCCTCCTCTTCCATGCTCCCCCCCCCCAAGGATCAAACATGTGTCTAGGAGCAGGTGGTGGAACTAAACTGAATTACTAACTACTGAACAGGCGGTACGGATCACCACTGACCTCAATTGCCCCCCCCCCTCATCGTTCAACTATCCATCTCCCCCCAACAATCAACCATTCCCTCCCCCCCCCTCCCCCACCACCTGGTTCTAAGCCAAGGGTTGCTCATCTACATGTGCTGGCGAAGGGAACCAGTTTTGTGAGCATTAACATACGAGCGGCGGGGCGGTGGTGGCGATGGCCAGGCTGGCTAATGGTCCAGCTGGGAGGAGGCCGCACTGCTCCACCTTTATGTCCCTCTTCCTGCTGCAGGTGGGAACCACCACCTGGGAACCACCACCTGGGAACCACCACCTGGGAACCACCACCTGGGAACCACCACCTGGGAACCACCACCTGGGAAATACCACCTGCAGCAGGAGGCAAGGAGAGCTCACTACCTGCAGCAGGAGGCAGGGGGGAAACTCCCCACCTGCAGCAGGAGGCACGGAGAGCTCCCCATCTGCAGCAGGAGGCACGGAGAGCTCACCACCTGCACCAGGAGGCAGGGGGAAGCTCCCCACCTGCAGCAGGAGGCAAGGAGAGCTCACCATCTGCAGCAGGAGGCAAGGAGAGCTCCCCATCTGCAGCAGGAGGCAAGGAGAGCTCACCACCTGCAGCAGGAGGCACGGAGAGCTCACCACCTGCACCAGGAGGCACGGAGAGCTCCCCACCTGCAGCAGGAGGCACGGAGAGCTCACCACCTGCAGCAGGAGGCACGGAGAGCTCACCACCTGCAGCAGGAGGCACGGAGAGCTCACCACCTGCAGCAGGAGGCACGGAGAGCTCCCCATCTGCAGCAGGAGGCACGGAGAGCTCACCACCTGCACCAGGAGGCACGGAGAGCTCACCACCTGCAGCAGGAGGCAAGGAGAGCGCACCACCTGCACCAGGAGGCACGGAGAGCTCACCACCTGCAGCAGGAGGCACGGAGAGCTCACCACCTGCAGCAGGAGGTACGGAGAGCTCACCACCTGCAGCAGGAGGCACGGAGAGCTCACCACCTGCAGCAGGAGGCACGGAGAGCTCACCACCTGCAGCAGGAGGCAAGGAGAGCTCACCACCTGCAGCAGGAGGCACGGAGAGCTCACCACCTGCAGCAGGAGGCAAGGAGAGCTCACCACCTGCACCAGGAGGCAAGGAGAGCTCACCACCTGCAGCAGGAGGCAAGGAGAGCTCACCACCTGCAGCAGGAGGCAAGGAGAGCTCACCACCTGCAGCAGGAGGCACGGAGAGCTCACCACCTGCAGCAGGAGGCACGGAGAGCTCCCCACCTGCAGCAGGAGGCAAGGAGAGCTCACCACCTGCAGCAGGAGGCACGGAGAGCTCCCCACCTGCAGCAGGAGGCACGGAGAGCTCACCACCTGCAGCAGGAGGCACGGAGAGCTCACCACCTGCAGCAGGAGGCAAGGAGAGCTCACCACCTGCAGCAGGAGGCACGGAGAGCTCACCACCTGCAGCAGGAGGCAGGGGGAAAACTCCCCACCTGCAGCAGAAGGCACGGAGAGCTCACCACCTGCAGCAGGAGGCACGGGGAGCTCCCCACCTGCAGCAAGAGGCACGGAGAGCTCACCACCTGCAGCAGGAGGCACGGAGAGCTCACCACCTGCAGCAGGAGGCACGGAGAGCTCACCACCTGCAGCAGGAGGCACGGAGAGCTCCCACCTGCAGCAGGAGGCAGGGGGAAGCTCCCCACCTGCAGCAGGAGGCAAGGAGAGCTCACCACCTGCAGCAGGAGGCAAGGAGAGCTCACCACCTGCACCAGGAGGCAAGGAGAGCTCACCACCTGCAGCAGGAGGCAAGGAGAGCTCACCACCTGCAGCAGGAGGCAAGGAGAGCTCACCACCTGCAGCAGGAGGCAAGGAGAGCTCACCACCTGCAGCAGGAGGCAGGGGGAAGCTCCCCACCTGCAGCAGGAGGCAAGGAGAGCTCACCACCTGCAGCAGGAGGCAAGGAGAGCTCACCACCTGCAGCAGGAGGCAAGGAGAGCTCACCACCTGCAGCAGGAGGCAAGGAGAGCTCACCACCTGCACCAGGAGGCAAGGAGAGCTCACCACTTGCAGCAGGAAGCAAGGAGAGCTCACCACCTGCAGCAGGAGGCAAGGAGAGCTCACCACCTGCAGCAGGAGGCAAGGAGAGCTCACCACCTGCAGCAGGAGGCAAGGAGAGCTCACCACCTGCACCAGGAGGGAGAGCAGGAACCTTCTCTACATATGTACTCTGCAAATATCACTTTCTACAGTTTCTTGAGCCAGATGTGTAGCTTATGGACACGTTTTCCGCTCTGGTTGAGAAGTGAAAATAAATTAGAAGATTTAACATTATATAAGGAATGTAGCAGGTGAGGTATCGACACAGCCCCGCTCCTGTACCAGGTAAGTCCACTACGGGCTCACCATAGCCCGTGCTACTTGGAACTTTTTGTTCCCAGTAGCTGAATCTAAAACAACAACAAGGTGAGGAATCACCACGGCAAGATGATGGGCATTCACACTGCATTCGAATGTTGTTGTTGTTAAAGATTCGCTACCTGGAACATAAAGTTCCAAGTAGCACGGGCTATGGTGAGCCCGTAGTGCCTTAGATTCGAATGCATGGGCCCCCGCATTCACGCTGGTCGACTGAGGCAGCAGATGACAGTACTGTCTTGCTCTCGCAGATGGTAGAAAGTACTTAACTGCAAGCTGGCTATTAGGTGTGTGTGTGTGTGTGTGTGTGTGTTTAACATGTAGTGCTTCAGCTATGTCTAATCATCAGATATCGTTGTATCAGTCAATATTATTTATGTGTTGTTAGTCAGGATATCTCTGCTGATGGTCTGGTTGTGTAAAGAAATTTGATCTTTCATAAGGTTGTAATGTTTATGCATAATAACATACGTTTTGGTCTTGCCTATATATTGAGATAGTTGGGGCTGTCAGTCCCTAAGTGGTCACCTAAAGGTATAGACAACATTTGTTTCTTTCGAAGCGTTTCGCTTGGTGTTGGGAGAGTACTCACTCACACTAGAGTGAGGAGAGACACACTAGAGTGAGGAGAGACACTAGAGTGAGGAGAGACACACTAGAGTGAGGAGAGACACACTAGAGTGAGAAGAGAGACACACTAGAATGAGAAGAGAGATACACTAGAGTGAGGAGAGGACACACTAGAGTGAGGAGAGACACACTAGAGTGAGAAGAGAGACACACTAGAGTGAGGAGAGACACACTAGAGTGAGAAGAGAGACACACTAGAGTGAGGAGAGACACACTAGAGTGAGGAGAGACACACTAGAGTGAGAAGAGAGACACACTAGAATGAGAAGAGAGAGACACTAGAGTGAGGAGAGACATATGAGCTGGGAGAGACTAAAGAGAGAGAGAGGCCGGAAGTGATGTTTCCGGTGGCCCCAAAACTGGACAAGTCAGTGTTAATAAACGCTCCTTTTTTCTGCAATTAAGTAAATGCATTTCCTGGGGGTTGTTCTGCAGGATATTCGGGTGTGGGCGGTGCGGGCGCTGCGGCCTGGACATCTCGCCCCAGGAGCTGGTTATGAGGGCGCGACATCATGTCTTTCATCTCCACTGCTTCACCTGCGCCTCCTGTCATGTCCAACTTCATAAAGGTAAGTTGGGTGTGTGTGTGTGGGTGTGTGGGTGTGTGTATGGGTGGGTGTGTGTGTGTGGGTGTGTGGGTGTGTGTGTGTGTGTGGGTGGGTGTGTGTGTGTGGGTGTGTGGGTGTGTGTGTGGTAGGATATCTCATCCTGCACCATATTCTTTCATATATCCTATCCTGCTTTTCCAAGATGGGGATTAGTTTTCTGTGAGGCGTGGTGCCAAAGGTCTCACGACAGCTTTAAAATGCGTCCTCTTTTGTTTTCTAAAGTTTGCGTCCTCTTCACCTTATTGTCTTATGTTTCTCGTTAAATCACATACGATTAGGTTTGTTAGCCACGAGTTCCCTTCCCTATACTTACCGTTGTCGGCCCGTGATGACTCCTGGAATCTCTTAAGTGGTCCATTCTCCTCCCTGTAGAATATTTTCCAACTTCTATGGTAAATATATGCCAGGTTATATAGCCATTATATATACTTGAAACACAATGCCTGCTTTTTTGTTGTCTAGTCCTTCACTAGGTTGTAGTGATCTATTGTATGTATCCAACAGTGGCATATTTCAAGTAGACCAAAGGGACCCATGAGCTGAAGCTCAACCCCATCGCAAGCACAACTAAGTGAATACTCAGGGCTTTAGTACCCACGGTAGGGGTCAGGTTCAGCCTCGCTCTCTTCCACATGTTCAGTTTTCAAAGGTGATTTTTCACTACACACAGAAATCACAATAGCGTGATGTATCAAATGACCAAAACGATCCCTCATCACGGCCCTTGTGGGTTTGTTCGTGTGATTTTTCACCTTTTTCATCTGTAAAACTTCAATACTTTCTGAAGAATTAACCAGAAATTATTGAAATTAAATTAAGAAATTCTGAAATTAATTTCAGAATTAACTTCAGTACTTTCTTGGGCAGTCAACCTTTTTCCAGGTTGTGGTAGTTCACTTTGCGAGGGTACGCACCTCGATGTGTTTATTGGGCCCAGCAGTGGCTCCATACCACCACAAGGCAGCCGATCGAGATGCAGGTGGAGAAAGACATCTAACTGGTCTATTGGTCTCTCCTTCTCAATGTCAACTAATGTAATTACCTTCAATTCTTCAGCTTTTCTTCGAACTTCTTCTTTTTTTGAAGCTGTTTAATAAACTTGCCTCAACGATCACCTCTGTAGCTCGTTCTGTTTGATTTTTTCCGTCTTTATGTTGAAGTTGTTTTTCTTGACGTCTCTCTGTTTATCAGCCTCTCCAGCTACCCCCCCCCCCTTTCAACCACTTGGGCTGGACGGTAGAGCAACGGTCTCGCTTCTTGCAGGTCGGCGTTCAATTCCCGACTGTCCGAGTGATTGGGCACCATTTCTTTCTCCCCGTCCCATCCCACATCCTTATCCTGACCCCTTCCCAGTGCTATATAGTCGTAAAGGCTTGGCGCTTTCTCCTGATAGTTCTCTCTCTCTCCACCCCCCCCCCCCCCCCTCATGGCCGCTGTCCTGCCATGTTCAACATTAAATCTTTGTCTACCAAAAGAATCGACAAATACAACAATAATAAGAGATTAGGTATAGTCCAATCACTACATATCAAACACTTCCATCCAACTAACACCAAGACCAAGCCAGAGCTGCCAACTTACCCCATACTTACTGCCCACCCCCCAGCCGACCAATGAGAATGCAGGGCAAGATTAACCAGCCCTCACGATTGGGTAACACCTCACCTCATCCTACCTGTAATACATTGTCACATGTGGAAATTTTTTAATTCACTTTCCCTCTGCTTCAGAAGATGCTGAGAAAAGTTTAGCAAAACGTGTCGTTTAGTCAGGTATAATAAAATTGCAAAATTAAGTTTTTTAGAGTTAAACTTTCAAGTTTCTTTTCACAAGTGCAGAACACATCTCGTTTTCTACATATATGTTCAAAAAACATACATATGTATATATTATATATATATATATATATATATATATATATATATATATATATATATATATATATATATATATATGTATATAAACTTTATTTGGTTTATATATTTTTATTAATGAACATTTTATTTGCAATTTAAAAAAAAATTCCTGAAATAGAGAATATGATCAACGTTTAAACCTGTGTGTGTGTGGATGCTGTTAAACCATTTCGTTTGGAGGTTTGGAAATTAATTACGAGGCAGTGTTCAAAATTCCCTTTTCATGGATGAATTTTTTTCTCTCTCTCTCTTTTTGATGCCATAACTTTCTCATCTCACTTGATAATGAGCTGTGAGGCGGAAGGCATTATATTCCCCTTGATGTTCGTGTGTGTGCTCACATGGGGGGCAATCACATACCTGTGATCCTGGAGGGTTGAGTTCCAGCTCTTGGACCCGATATCAAGTTTTTTTCTCTGTATTCTTCTGTCTCGTCCGCACATTTGTCTTCCGTTTTTGTTCACTGGTTCTTCCATTCTTGTCCTTCCTATCTATTTCCAGAGTATTCTGAACGTTTCTGGGAAGCCTTCCCTTTGTGTACTCCTTGCCCTTTGTTCTCTAGAAGGTGTCTCCTTCGCTATTGTCTTCTCAACCTCTCCTAGATCACGAGAGAGAGAGAGAGAGAGGAGAGAGAGAGAGAGACGAGAGAGAGAGAGAGAGAGAGAGAGAGAGAGAGAGAGAGAGAGAGAGAGAGAGAGAGAGAGAGAGAGAGAGAGAGAGAGAGAGAGAGAGAGAGAGAGAGAGAGAGAGAGAGAGAGAGAGAGAGAGAGAGAGAGAGAGAGTGAGAGAGAAGCGGCAAGCCAGAGAAGCATAATGTTAATGTGCACATTTGTCAAGTTTGTATACCTCTGTGTTAACTGAATTTTCGTGAAACCTCTTACGTCGAGGTCATGTGTTAAGTGTGTGATTTTACGATGCCAAAAATAATATCAGAGATTATATAAGGAATGGTTGTTGTGTCCCTCTTACACTGACACATGACAAGTTTTTTTTTATATTTAAGGGAGGACTACACTAAGAAGACCTGGACATGTGTTACCCCCCACCAACAGGGGGGGTGGGTAGTGTTACCCCCACAAACAGGGGGGTAGTGTTACCCCCACAAACAGGTCTGTAGTGTTACCCCCCACAAACAGGGGGGTAGTGTTACCCCCCACAAACAGGGGGGTAGTGTTACCCCCCACAAACAGGGGGGTAGTGTTACCCCCCACAAACAGGGGGGTAGTGTTACCCCACACAAACAGGGGGGTAGTGTTACCCCCCACAAACAGGGGGGTAGTGTTACCCCCCACAAACAGGGGGGTAGTGTTACCCCACACAAACAGGGGGGTAGTGTTACCCCCCACAAACAGGAGGGTAGTGTTACCCCCCCTTGTTTGTGTAAAGGGCGGCTGCAACGGTTCATCTTCCCCTTTCAACTACTAGTACCACCACCACTACCACCATCCAAACACTACTATCACACCATTAAAAACACTGGTAATCACCACAAACGATAGCAAGTACCAATAGTACCAGCAACACCGCCACCTCGTTGCCTCCAGTACCAGTACCACCAGTAGCACCTCAACCACTACCAGTACCACAACCCGCACTACCAAAAACAACCATTACCCCCACCACCACCACCAATACCACTACCACGAGCACCAAAACAACCACTATCAGTAAGTACCACAACTATCACTACCAGTACCACCACCACCACAACCCTCCCCCCCCACCAGTACCAACATTACCTGGACGAAGAGACTATATATACCCCACCTCTGCGCCTCCTCCACAGGCGACCACTTCGGGATGCGAGACGGAGCAGTCTACTGCCGCCCACACTACGAACTCATCCTCCAATCCGAGGCAGAAATGGAGGCAGTGGGCGTGTCTGCGGGCATGTCGTACCCGCCCCTCTCTCCGGCCACGCCCCGCCTCGCTTTCTACAACGGCGTAGGGGCGGCTCAGAAGGGGAGACCTAGAAAGAGAAAGTTACCGACGGAGGACTTGCCGCCCCTAACGCCTCTGACGCCTGGTATGGGTAAGTATCTCTTTCACTCACGGATGGGAAAATGTTTCTCAGTCCCGATATCGGTGGGGGCCATCAACATATAGCTAAGTGTTAGTAAATGCAGCAGCGTTCGAAAGCTGATTTTCAGGTTTTAATTTTAATTCATGTTTTGAGTGATGGGAAATATGTCTCTAGTGGGCTTGATATTCTGTTTGTGAGGCTGTGAGTATATGAGTTTGCGTGCGTTCATCTGTTGGTATTTGTGTCTGTTTTTTTTGTGTGTGTATGAATGTCTGTAATCGTTCTAATACTTCAATGGCTCAGCCAATTTGGATAAATAAAATGTAACCATTCTTATAATGGGATCAATGTTCCAGCGGCCCGGTCTCTGACTAGGCCAAAGAAAGTTTTCTGCTGGACAATTTTTTTTTTTTTTGCGGAGGATTTCTCAGTAGCTATTATACAAACGTCTTAATAGCGGTTCTTTAAATTTTCTGTTGACCTTAGAACATTAGTGGAACATTCTCAGCCTTCATAAGGTCAGTCTAGACCATGAGTGCCTCTTGGCTCACAAATCAATAAACATAAAATGGAAAAGTCAAGTTCAGCCTGAGTTCAATTTAGTTTAAGTGTGTAGATACATTCACAGTTGCGGACATGTATGTGGCTTTAATAAATAAACTCATCTGTGATACAAGGAGATGCAACAGTTCCCATTATGTATCCCCATATTACTGTTGGTAATATGGGAATACATAATAAATGCCAGACTACAGACACAAAACAGGAACTCACCACACTTCGAAATATTGAGGAAATAATATTAAGCTTAAATATGAGCCTCTCCACAATATTACGACCAACACCATTGGATATTATCAGGCGGACATATTGTAGAAAATAAAGGGACTAAGTAAAGAAAAAAACTAGCCAGGACATATAACAGATATTCAGTAATGATTCCATGTAGGCATCTCTAATTAGAACTGGTCAATGTGTGAATTACAAAGGGTTGTAGAATATGAGAAATTCTTTGGAGCAGGACGGCGTGATCGATCCATGCAGCGTCCTGGTCCCCCCACCGGACGGCCCGCTGTATATAGCACGGTATTGTGACCAGGCTGTGTAGTTGCAGGATATATTGGTAACAGATGATGAAGTAATGGGGCACCTGAGAGGGAGTTAGGCAGTTAGAAGGGAGTTAGAGTTAGAAAAAGGCTGGGAGGCCTGACCATATGTATCCGTTGGAGCTGAAAAAGATGGGGCTACTGCACTAAGCTGGACCCGGATTCACGAAGCAGTTGCGTAAGAACTTACGAACCTGTATATCTTTTCTCAAAATCTGGCGGCTTTGTTTACAATTATTAAACAGTTAATGAGTTCCGAAGCACCAGGAGGCTGTTTATAACAATAACAACAGTTGATTGGGAAGTTTCCATGCTTGTTTAATACATGTAACCAAAGCCGTTGAAGATTGAGGAAAGATGTACACGTTCGTAAGTACTTGCGTAACTGCTTCGTGAATCTAGCTCTTGGCCACTTGCGACGATACAAAATATGAAGGTAGATACAAGGAAGCTATCACGCAATTAGAAGACAGTCACTGCAAAAAAGCAATCACATACCTAGTGGGCAATCCAAAAGTAACGTTGATTCAAGCCTGAATCAACGTTACTCTTGGCTAATGTTGCCACTGGATAACAGGCCTTCAGCCACCGCTCAGTGCTCCTTGCATGTGCAGTGTGCAAGGTAATGACGACAATAAATAAATGCTATTGTATAGTGTCACAGAGGTGCATGAAGGGGGCTGATGGCAGCCAAGCAAGGTGGGGGAATTGTGGGCAGACAGTTTACACTGAGAGTGCACGAAGACATGATCGTTACTTCCCCCCCCCCCCACGTAGGAGATTGAATCACACAATTCCAGCTGCCGGCAGAGTCAATACGAAGTCTTCTGAAGGATAAACGAATAGTAGAAATAGTAGTAAATAGAGGAAGACTATTTAGCAAGAATATCGAAAAAAAGACTCTGTGTGAGCTAAACTTCACGTCACTACAAGAGCGATAATTCGGCAACATTATCACAACGAGGAAAATATTTTGTAGACAGTAGCGAGGCAGAGAAGAACCCGTGCTTGACACGCAGCCAGAACGAGACGACTTCACTCTGCGATAAATACCTTAGCGAGGGAAGAGGGACGTAATGAGAGACGTCTTCGGAGTTAGTGTAGCGCAACCCGTTCTCGCACTTGCTTATAGTCAATATTGGCTCATTTAATAAGTGCATATGTGACATACTAATTGAGTGTGAATATTTTAGTTTACCTTGAAAAGCTTCATAGAAAACACCGACCTCACCTAACCTTCTTAGTATGTTAAGATAAGCATCTTATTGCTTCTTAATTACAATTATTACTTAGCCTATCAATGGTATAGGTTAAGTAATAATTGTAATTAAGAATTAATTAATTAATTAATTAATTAGTAATTAATCTTAACATACTAAGAAAGTTAGGTGAGGTCGGTGTTTTATATGAAGCTTTTCAAGGTAAACTAAAATATTCACAATCAATTAGTATGTCACATATGCACTTATTAAATAAGCCAATATTGACTATAAGCAAGTGCGAGAACGGGTTGTGTAGCGACGGTGTGGATGAAGCTAAACAGTGACGATCTTGAAGATGACTCACATGTTCAGGCTTTACAACCAGCCCCGAATTAAGGGAGCTAGTAAACCAGCAAGCAGCTATTAAACTACCTAAGGAACTAGTAAACCCTCTTAAGGAGCCATTAGGGTACCTAAGGAGCTTTTAATGAACTATTCATCATTGTGACAGGGACACAAGTCCGGTCAGGAAAAGCTTTTAGCTGAGAATTACTCGTGTCAAGACAAGTCTCTTCTGGCAATTATATTCGTGCAAGGACGGTTTTGTGAGGCAGGGGGGGGGGTAGTTACGCCTGACAAGCACAGACTGTTTGGTGGTTAATTAAATTGGCTCAAATTTTGTCTGTGATCGAAATTCTGTTTATAGTTCATTTAATCAAGTGCCTTATTATTATTATTTTTATTATTATTAGTATTAATTATAATTCTTATTATTTTTATCAACACTTTCATTAGTTTAATTTTTATTAATATTTTTACTATTTATTGTTTTAATTTTATTTATTAATTTTATTAATTATGGTTTTTTTATAATGGGTTTTATCGCGACGGAAGTGGGGACAATAGCCTGGACGGGAGGGCAGGCCGGTGGTGTTGACCAGGCCGGTGGTGTTGACCAGGCCGGTGGTGTTGACCAGGCCGGTGGTGTTGACCAGGCCGGTGGTGTTGGCCAGGCCGGAGGTGTTGACCAGGCCGGTGGTGTTGACCAGGCCGGTGGTGTTGACCAGGCCGGTGTTGTTGACCAGGCCGGTGGTGTTGGCCAGGCCGGAGGTGTTGACCAGGCCGGTGGTGTTGACCAGGCCGGTGGTGTTGACCAGGCCGGTGTTGTTGACCAGGCCGGTGGTGTTGGCCAGGCCGGAGGTGTTGACCAGGCCGGTGGTGTTGACCAGGCCGGTGGTGTTGACCAGGCCGGTGGTGTTGACCAGACCGGTGGTGTTGGCCAGGCCGGTGGTGTTGACCAGACCGGTGGTGTTGACCAGGCCGGTGGTGTTGACCAGGCCGGTGGTGTTGACCAGGCCGGTGGTGTTGACCAGACCGGTGGTGTTGGCCAGGCCGGAGGTGTTGACCAGGCCGGTGTTGTTGACCAGGCCGGTGGTGTTGGCCAGGCCGGAGGTGTTGACCAGGCCGGAGGTGTTGACCAGGCCGGTGGTGTTGACCAGACCGGTGGTGTTGGCCAGGCCGGTGGTGTTGACCAGGCCGGTGGTGTTGGCCAGGCCGGTGGTGTTGGCCAGGCCGGTGGTGTTGACCAGGCCGGTGGTGTTGGCCAGGCCGGAGGTGTTGACCAGGCCGGTGGTGTTGGCCAGGCCGGAGGTGTTGACCAGGCCGGTGGTGTTGACCAGACCGGTGGTGTTGGCCAGGCCGGTGGTGTTGGCCAGGCCGGTGGTGTTGACCAGGCCGGTGGTGTTGACCAGGCCGGTGGTGTTGACCAGGCCGGAGGTGTTGGCCAGGCCGGTGGTGTTGACCAGGCCGGTGGTGTTGGCCAGGCCGGTGGTGTTGGCCAGGCCGGTGGTGTTGACCAGGCCGGTGGTGTTGGCCAGGCCGGTGGTGTTGACCAGGCCGGTGGTGTTGGCCAGGCCGGTGGTGTTGACCAGACCCGTGGTGTTGGCCAGGCCGGTGGTGTTGGCCAGGCCGGTGGTGTTGACCAGGCCGGTGGTGTTGACCAGGCCGGTGGTGTTGACCAGGCCGGTGGTGTTGACCAGGCCGGTGGTGTTGACCAGGCCGGTGGTGTTGACCAGGCCGGTGGTGTTGACCAGGCCGGTGGTGTTGACTAGCGACTCCTGATGCACTTAGGCTGATTAATCAACGTGTCCTCCCACAAGGAACGTCACTTTTCGGTCGTAGGCGTTACCTAAGGCCCAAAAATGGCCGTCATACAAAATGGAAGCGGCTGGCGAAAGTGACGCACTGTCCCGTTTTCTGTTTTGGGTCCTCTGGCAGGTTAGGAGAGGTCACTTTAACTTGATTATTTTTTTTTTTTTGAGATATATACAAGAGTTGTTACATTCTTGTACAGCCACTAGTACGCGTAGCGTTTCGGGCAGGTCCCTGGAATACGATCCCCTGCCGCGAAGAATCGTTTTTTCATCCAAGTACACATTTTACTGTTGCGTTAAACAGAGGCTACAGTTAAGGAATTGCGCCCAGTAAATCCTCCCCGGCCAGGATACGAACCCATGACATAGCGCTCGCGGAACGCCAGGCGAGTGTCTTACCACTACACCACGGAGACTGTTTTTGACTTTGACTTTTTTGACTTTTGACGGAGATTTTCTTGACTTTGGGAAACCTTAGGAGGATGGGTTGGATTAATAGTTATGTGTGGTTTGGGTATATGTGTATTTACTATTTGTGCTTTCAGAATCGAGATATTAGCTCTTGGACCCCGCCTCTCGAACCATTCTATTTTTCCTCTATTATGTCTACTTTTTATATTTCTCTCTGACATAAGCACACACACACATCCCTAGGAAGCAGCCTGTAGCAGCTGTCTATTTCCCAGGTACCTATTTACTGATAGGTGAACAGGGTTGTCAAGGTGAAAGAAACTCTGCTCATTTGTTTCTGTCTCGGCCGGGAATCGAACCCGGGTCTTTAGGACTACTACCCTCGAGCGCTGTCCACTCATCCGCTAGGCCCGTGAGTGTTTTGCGTGTGTGTGGCTGTGTGTGTGTGTGTGTGTGTGTGTGTGTGTGTGTGTGTGTGTGTGTGTGTGTGTGTGTGTGTGTGTGTGTGTGTGTGTGTGTGTGTGTGGTGAATGTACCACCACAACTACCAATTACAACACCACAATCACCAACCACAACAACACAATAACACCACAACCATCAACTATAATACGACAACCACCACCACAACAACACCACAACCACCTTAACAACACCACAACCACAACACCACAACATTACAACACCATAACCACAACAACAACAACCACAACACCACAACCACCTTAACAACACCACAACCACAACACCACAACATTACAACACCACAACACCACAACCCACAACCACAACACCACAACCACCTTAACAACACCACAACCACAACACCACAACATTACAACACCATAACCACAACAACAACAACCACAACACCACAACCACCTTAACAACACCACAACCACAACACCACAACATTACAACACCACAACCACAACACCACAACCACAACACCACAACCACCTTAACAACACCACAACCACAACACCACAACCACCTTAACAACACCACAACCACAACACCACAACCACCTTAACAACACCACAACCACAACACCACAACATTACAACACCACAACCACAACACCACAACCACAACACCACAACCACCTTAACAACACCACAACCACAACACCACAACATTATAACCCCACAACCACAACAACCACAACACTACAACACTACAACACCACAACACCACAACAACCACAACCACAACCACAACACTACAACACCACAACACCACAACCACAACAACCACAACACTACAACACCACAACACAACCACAACAACCACAACCACAACACTACAACACTACAACACCA